TAAAGACAGTTACGTACATAAAAAAACGCCATTTTAACGCTATTAAGCAGCCTCCTCCCCTAATCGATTAACTTGAATCCAACAATATAGCGTGCATGCCGAGAGGTGCATACCAAAAGAAACTTGAAAAGATATCGCTGACAATCTTTTTATTCCTGATTTTCGGATGTCTCCTCAAGACAATAATAACGCCAAGTATTTTCAGAAAATTAATGGTGTAGTCTGACGCTTCACTTTCAACTTCAGTTTTCGATTTTAAATGAATTTTCTAATTATAAAACGACATAAATTCAAGAGCTTTTAAGAAGTTTTTGTTACGGAATTAAACAGATAGGCAACTATTTTCAGAATCATTCATTTTGCCGTCTTTCATCGGAGCATGCAGAAAAAAGAAAGATCAAATGAATGATTCTAAAAATAGCAAGAAAGAGTGCTCATGATTGAAAGCACGGGCAACTCCTTCTTTTTGTTCATTTTCTATCGAAAAAAAACCCGTATTTTTATTCAGCTCCTTTAGCTGAAAGAACATTTGTACGTTATTTCTATGCTCAATGAACTGTTGGACACTTTCAATGACAAGAAAAGGAACTTCTACAACAGCGGCACGGACGGCTCTTTTGTCTTGTTTTCAATTGCAGAGGATGTTTCCTACCACGCGGTAGATATTTCAGTTTCGTAGCATGATTAATCGTTAATTATGATTTGATGGTTGATTTGATATTTTATTCTTACACGCACGTAAAGACAGGGACCGTGGAGCATATCGAAAAGTGTGGGGGCTGGTATTTGAAAATTAAGTATATAATCAAATTTCGGGRAAAAAAACGCTTTTCCCCCCATATATATTCGTATCTTTAGCGCAAAAAGTCTTCATGTTCTATTTCTGTAAGCACTACCTTGGCCAACGCAAGGAGATCCCGGGAGACTTACTGAGACGTTTAGGATACTTAAGAAGTGTAAGAACAAATTTGACTGCCTTGTGAACGAGATGCCTTTTTCATCAGAGAACTAATAACAACACTTAATGTTCAATCTGACTCCATCCGTGCCAAAGTGTTTCTTTAACTACGCCAAAGTGTTCATTAACTAACTTTATTATATTAGTCAGTATGACTTCAAAACGCGGTTTCTTTGGCTTGTTTTTACTTGCTTTCGTATTTTCATGAAGTTACTGTTGATTAGACTGCTTTATTCGTTGGAAAAAATACTTACTGTTAATTACTAAATGCGTCTAATCTGAAACCTACGCCGCCCAATTTTCCCCGTTCATGAATTTTGACTGGCTTTTTCGGCTTGTGACCTATAATGCTAACTGCACGGACTGCATTACACATTACTGTTAACAAACTACTCCACCCTCTCGATGCACTCAAACCGCATGGCATCTACATATGTCCTAGTCACTAAAATCATTACCTTTCTACCCGAACCTCGTACGTCTTACCAGTACATTTTTCCTATGTATTGACGTCTCTTTGCTCTTACAACTCCAGTGTATGCTGGCTTAGCCTTGAATCTAGGAGTTGCTTGTTTTGTTATCTGATTTATGCTTTTGTTTTCTGATCTCAGAAGTGAGGTTAAGCCCGCATGAAGTTTTAAGAGTCGTCAATTCTTTTGCTTCGACAAAAGTCAGAGGTCGAAGACGTCAGCAACAGCATAAGATTAAAGAAGTACGTTATTCTAGTGTCCACTTAACCAACTCCTTACTCACCCATCTATAGCTACCTAACTAAGCGTACCTAACTACCCACCCGTCTACCATTCTACCTAACCATATACTCAACTAAACTTCTTAAATGCATATACCCAACTACCTACCATCTTACTTTCCCTCCCCAACTACTCTACCTACCCTACTTACTAGCCCATATATGTACCTTACCTACCCACCTACCTTTCTATCGACCTAATCACTTAAAGTCTTAGCTTCATATTCTTAACTACCTACCTTCCTACTTTAATACCCTCTCTACCTACCTATTTAGCTACTTGCCCATATATGTACCATCTTTATACAAATTACCTACCTTTCTACCTACCTACTCACTTAACTATCTATCTATCTATCCACCTATTCGCCCATATATGCACACTCTTACAAACCACCTATCTACTTATACCTTCCTAGATACACGACTACTTGGATGTACCTGTGAAGCCTCCGATAGCCTACTACTGTACCAACCATATCAATAACACCGTCTCATTTACATTCCCTTAGAAGTCTAGCGAGTCTACCTTTATGAGCCAATATAAATAACAGGCATTCTAAACAAGAGATATACTGACTTCTTGAGAAGTCAAGTGAACACAGACGGACTTCCTTAATTTACTTGTGATCAATAATACTCGCCATTATTATATATTGGATTCGGAAATATTTACATCAATCAGGAAACAAGCGATATGCCATGCTTTAGTTCTTCTCATTATAAAACGGACGCTGCATGGATCATTCAATGTCTATATAAAGTGATATTCGTGTTTTCAGCTTTCTAGAAAAATCAGTGAATGTGAGTTTGGGTGTTTGGTTAAAAGTGGCCGAATTGATGTGTCTTGAGTGAAAGTTTTAAAAAGGAGAGACTGAAGAAGGAAGAAGAGAAGAGAAGAGAAGAGAAGAGAAGAGAA